CAAAAGCAACAACAGAATAACAACTATATTTATGCCTAAGATAAGAGTGTTCTCTAAAAGTAGAATACTCATGAGCGGTGAATAAAATAAAATAMATTTTAAAAGAACCMAAACTCCTAACTYTCAAGAGTTTKAAAGAATTTAATTTACTATTMYAGTRCACATAAACTTAGGAAAATAGGTTAAAAAACCCCTTACTCTGCATCAATGAGCACGTCATATAACAGATATCTTAACTGTCCCAAGCACAATTGCTATGAAGAATTTTTCACTCTGACTTGCACCTYGAAGAGTTATAATGAAATTTGGGATTTGCATATTCCTGAACTGGATGGTCAGAGGGTTTGAGATCCGTTCCGATTCTTTGATGCACATCCCTCCTTAAAATGATTTTTCAAAAGCTTAGGTCCAGTATCAGACTCCAGCCCTGAGTTTTCAGAAGGCATTATTAACACCAATATTGCCCTCTTCAGTTCTGTGGTTTGTAAGCTGATCTGGGGACACCCTCTGTGAAAAATGAAGAAAATTGGTTGGGTTTTGTTTTGTTTGTTTTTGTTTTTTTTTTTTTCCCCTGCATGGTATTTTGCAGTCAGTTCATATGTTAATGTGCCTGTGGATGAACACCTTCTCAGAGGRTAACACAGTTCCAAAAATTGAAACATTGACTGAGGAATAATGCTGTCTAATAATGTAAAGTCTAATTCAGTGTGATGACTTTTGGCATTTTTAAAGGCATTTTCTTAATTTTTTTTAAACAAATAAAAAATAAGGGCAGCAGATTTTTCCAGTAAGGCAGGAAATAGTTTGGTATTTTCAAGAACTCTTTAAAGCTAGGATAGTGATGTGCTAAGATGATTCCATTTCATTGTTAATATTGTCCCAGTAGCAAAAGAATGGCTCTCAAGCTTTATGTAGCATCATTTTGCCACAGAAAAAGAAGCTTTTTACATTTCTTCTCCCACTGCACTGCTGCCTTTGTAACTTCCACACGTTAGTCAGTCTATAAAACTGCACATCTTAAAAAACCTTTGCATAGATACAAATACTACAGCTCAGACTGAATACATGAGCGAAAAAACTAACCAGAAAATTGCTTCAGTGTGAGCTGAGATATTTAATGCCTCAGCACTGTTTTCAACTGGAAAGCTCCTGTTTGCCAGGACAGASATCACTGCTCTGCTCAAACACTGTCAAACACTCACTGTGAAGGTACTGGGCGATGTTTATTGTCCACTCCTCTGGCAGCTGCCCAGTTTTGGTTATCCTGGAGCACTTGAGCTGACTGGAGAGGTCTCTGGATTCAATCCAGCACAGGGTGTCCTCCCTGTAGCTGAAGTCCAGGCTCACCACTGCAGATCCTTTCGCAGGGCTCCGAGCAGACATTTGGCTGCCATTGAGGAATAAAACCTCRATGGTTTCAGAGCTTGCAACCAGGAGAAGAGGAGGTCTGTCAGCAGGCTCTGAAAGCAAAGTGAAGAGAGGTTAAAGGATTAGTAAGTTGTGTACAGCAAATTTATATTTTCATTTTTAATGTGGTTTTTAATGTTCTTACCTGCTTGTTTTAAGATATATAATAAATTGATTTTGTTTTTATTTTCATAATGATGAAATAATTTATTATATATGAAATAATGTTTTTATTTTCATAACTGTGGAATAATATATTCAAAATTATTGGTCTATTTTATCCTGTTGTACTAATGGTTCGCATCATCAAAGAAAATTAATTACCCTAGCCCCATAGCCTCTGTTTAATTCCAAATATCATTATTGCAACATTTTTCATGCCTAAGTCAGAAAATTAAATACAACCTATACACATTATCTCTATCCAGATTACTGGACTTTCCAAAAGAATGAAGCCCAGGAAAACCTATAGAACTCACACGGACACAAAAAATGGCAAGGTTTCATATTAGAGTCTGTAAAATAAGAAAAAAAATTGAAGAGTGGGTGCTGCTAAATGAAAAATCCAGTGCAGTGAAACCTTAAATCATAGAAACACTGTAGTTTCAGGCATATGTGAGAAATATTTGTGTTGCCAAGCCAGSAGCTYTCACCCCAGTGTAATCTGCTTGTTTTCAAAGGAATGSATTGATATTTCAATGCTGCATCGACATGAAGCACTTTCAATCAACATTCCACCTAATGGAGTCCTCAAGATTTCACTAAGCAATTCTAGATATCTAAATGGTGAAAAAAAAAGTCATAAAAACAAGAAGTTGACAAAAAGTACTTCATCTGAAGATCTGATTAAAGAGAAAAGAACACTCCAGTGAGTCGAGTGCTCAGTGGTCTC